TACAACTTGTCTGACAGGCTGATCCTCCTCACAATGCCGTCCAGTTGGACCTGGCCCTCCGTCGTCGTCCTCCTCCTCCTTGTCCAATCATCTGTGTCCTCTCTTTCTGCTGATAACACCACAGAGGACCTTCAGGAGGTGACTCTGGCAGCCATCTTGCCTCTCACTAACACAGACTATGCGTGGGCATGGCCTCGTGTGGCGCCAGCACTGCACCAGGCAGTGCGGCAGGTAAACTCAAACCCCTGGCTGCTGCCAGGCATGAAACATTCATGGCAGCTCCGAGAACCGCGCCGGCTTCTGTTCAGACTCTATGGCACCACTGGTCGCCGTTGATCTGAAACTGTCCCAGGACCCATGGGCTTTCATCGGGCCTGGCTGTGACTACTCCTCTTCTCCTGTTGCCCGTTTCACCACCCACTGGGAGGTTCCAATGATAACAGCTGGTGCTCGTGCCATTGGATTCAAGCACTATGCGGCAGTCACTAACACAGGTCCAACACACAAGAAGCTGGGTGAGTTTGGTGTCAGGATCCAGGAGACATTTGGCTGGCGGCGCCACGCCATGCTCATCTTCAGCGACAACAAGGACGCCAATGACGACCGTCCGTGCTACTTTGCTGTGGAGGGGCTCTTTGAACTGCTAGAAAACAACAACATCACCATCCGAGACTATGTCATCGAGGCCGAGAACATCAACTACAAGTCGGTGGTCCAGGACATCCGAGAGAACGGCCGAGGTCAGACACTTCAACTGCTTTTGCTGATTTCTTTTGATATCCTTCTTTGTCTTTCCTTTGCTCTGTCTTCTTTCCTTTCAGTAGTCAGTGCTTTACAAAGAAAGACAACGTTAGGCACCTCAACTGCGTTCACCTTCTGTTTTACTGACTCTTCATTTTCTTTTCTTCCCTCCTCCCTTTTCCCTTTGTTTCATGTTCCACGAGATCTGAGAGAAAATTTACGTTTAAACTTTAACTGCTTTCACTGCCTGGTTTTACTTGACTCACCTTCCTACTCTCCTTCCCTCATTTATCCTCTGTTCTTTAAAGTGCCCATGGCTGCTTGTTTTGCTCATTTCCAGCCATTTAGTGTTTAATCTTTGGTACCTCCTGGTCAGCTTAACGCCCCTCATAACTCCAAACAGTCTGTAACTGTTTCAGAATGATAAAACCAGAGAGCCTCTTCCTAAAAACGAGGACAGTTCGTGGACGCGCACAACTCCTGTTGCCGGTGTTGTGTTGAAAGTGGACAACACACAGAAGTACTAGAACATATGTACACCTCATTTTTTTAGCTTTAGGTCACGTCTAAGATGATAATTCACCGTGCTATGGGCTCTTTAACTTCTTTTCCTTTGGCAGTAGATCATCCAGAAATCCAAGACTCTGGCTGAGATGGCTGAGGTCAGACACTTGCACTACTTTCACTTTATTTTAGTTTCCGTGTCGTCTTTTTCTTTCCTTCCCTCATTCCTCCATCTTTCCCCCATTATCTTCTTTCCTTTAACAACACTGTCAAGGTCACACACTTCAACTGCTTTAGGTTTCAGTTTTACTGTCTTCTGTTTCTCCTTTTTATTTCATCCCCTTCCTCCTTCGTTTCTTTCTCTCCCTCAGTGGTCCTACAAATCTGAGAGATCAGATACCTCGGTTGATTTTAGTTGCTTACACTCTTATTTGACTTTTTAATCATTGGATTCCATTCTTCCTTTTCCTTTCTGTTTTTGTTTCCTCCTTCCTTCCTTCCTTGCTTTCAGTTGTAGATTTCCCAGGAGGTCTGAGGTAAAAGCTGAGCACAGATGCTTGAACTGCTTTCACGTCTTTAAGTGATTAATCCTTAATTATTTGATTTTTTTGCTTCAGTGGTTGATAGCTATGCTGTCTGTGCTCTGATACATGTCTTTGTGAGGACCGGGTTCAGCTTAAGGTGGTAGGAGTGTGGACATTCCTGCGGGCTCTCACTTTGTGCTATTTCAGGGTTCAGACTTGGTTTTAAAGGACGCAGACGGTGATTCAGTGTGTCTGTGTGAGTCTCCACCATCCCCATCCAGAGACCAGCAGCACCAGTGAACGTGATGTTCGCACCATCGTGTGTGTGAGTCCAGACCCTGGTTCATCGCTCCACTGTTGTCCACCAGCCATTAACCCACGGCCAGTGAGCCACACCGCCACACTGGGGGGCAGGTTTCCTCCTCATCAAACACGGCAGGCCATGTGTCTCCACCAAACCAGCTCCACAGGCTGAGAAGAGTGTCACTGTGCAGAGTTTGAAGACAGGGTTTCTGGTCTCTGCTCTGTTTAAGGCTGATTTATGCTTCTGCATCAGCTCTATAACATAGGCAACGTGTACCATTTCCTCATTTATGTCTCTCAGTGGCCAGGTAAGCAGAGAATAATAATAATAATAAAAGTTTATTTATATAGCACTTTACAACTCTAAAAGAGCACAGAGTGCTTCACAACAGAACATGTATACGTTAATAAAAAACAGTACTAAAGCAAGAAGAGCTTAACAAAATAAAACAAATTTTAAAAACAGAAGGAGTAAAAATCTTCCATATCACGACACAAACAGCGTAAAACAACAAGTTAAAAGAGGGTTAAGACAGGAACGGGTTAGGCACCAAAGGCCTGTCTAAAAAGGTGGGTTTTTAGAGGGAAAATCCTCCTGGCTCTGCCTCAACCGGTTCAGTGGTCACACAGACCATCTCCTCTGATGTCTCCTCTCTTACCTGTGCTGCAGTAATTTCAGTAAAACTAGCTGCTGATAGCTTTAACATGACCCGCTCAGTTTCAGTCGATGCTGTTAGTAAGTGGTGAAGATACATAGCACAGTGACATAGACACACCACCGCCAACTAGCTTAACACTAGCTTATCAAAATGAACACTGCTCCACCAGCTCCTCACTGCACAGAACAACTTGTTGGAACCGTTTGCTGGAAGCAGGCGGTGTCCCGTTTTTCCTGAGGAGGAAACCTGTCGCCCAGTGCAGCGGTGTGGCTCACGCGGGGGGGGGGGGGCTAATAGCTGATGGACAACAATGGAGGTCCACGCCACAGAACGATAGGATCAGTTTGGAATCAGGTTTTGGTTTGATTAGGACTAGAGACTAAGAAATGCTTTATGCCACTAAGGGTTCTCTCAAGAGTAGAAGACCAAATGTGTGTGTTGCACACACCTGTAAATAATCAGGAACAGGATTCTGTTGCAGAGAGGAAGAAATAAATCAGTCCTTTCACCGTCCACTGGGTCGGGTCTTTACTTTGTGTTCACTTCTCTTTGTTATTCAGGCTGTCGTGCACCCAGTGCTTTCGTTACAATGTCTGACCTGGTAACACACTAGTGTTACACTCCGTTCAGTCTGCTTTAACCAGGTGGAGGTCAGCAGTAAGGATCAGTAATCAGCACTGTGATGGTTTCAGTGTCAGCTGGTTAAAACCAGTCTGAGCCACTGACGTCTGTTTTCTCAGAGGGTGACTTTACAAGAAACATGACACCAGTGTAAAAATAGTGACTACAGCTCTGTTAGATGTAGAGCTGCGATTACTGCTGATCACTTCCCCATTAATCTGTCGCTCGACCTTTTAAATGCCCATCATAATGACTATGAGCATGAGGTGACGAGCCCCAAAACATCTCGTTCACACAGTAAATAGTTTCAAGCTGGTTCACTTTTCAAAGTTCCCCTGCCACCTCAAAAATGTGAGGTCACTGAAGTCAGGTTGAAAATTTAGCCCACAGTTGTTTTGACAGTGTAAAACTGAGTTCACTGAACACCAGAAAACAAGATAAATCAGCTGAACATATAAAGTGAAATCGGCGACAGTCCGACTTCCAGGTTTGTTTTTGATGCATATTGTCTCACTCTGAAGAATCGGTTTTTATCAGACACAGGAAATTTGCAGCCATTGAAGCCATATCATACTAGAGTCAGTGTTTTAAATGTTTGCAGACCTAATTCAACACAATCCTTCATTGCAGTGTAAAAATGAAAGTGCTGGATGATGTTTCACAGTGTGCGACATGAGAACCTGGAGGCACGTTTGACTTTAAAGAGGCCTCAAACACAGATGTTACATGTCAGCATGAACACGCTCCCTTTAAACAGTGGTCTCTGATGTAACACGGGAACACGAGACTGCTTTGCTCAGATGCCTTGTGGGGTCATACGTGCACAGGCCTGTGGCCTCAGCTTTCTACTAAAGAACCAGATGTTTTCTAATACACGTTCATTAAGTAAGTGTACCGGACACTTTTATATCGATGTTAGCACGACTAAATACACACTCTCCGTGTGGTGACATCATGGTGAACGTGACAGAGAGATAGCGAGATTAAATCACACACACTCATGTACATAGACACACACACACACACACACACACACTAACTGAGACCATCTGTTGCTGGTGGCGGTGCTGGAGGGAGACTCATTAAGTGTGTGTGCCTGTACAGCTGTTGCTGTGAGGACATTTCTGCACTGTGAGCACGTTGTCCAGTCCTCACACCCTCAGAGGGTTGTTTGAGGGTTCAGACCTGGTTTTAGGGTCAGGTCAGGGCAAGGCAACTTTATTTATACAGCACATTTCAAACACAGAGGCAAAGAAAATCAGTATCCATTAAAAATAACAAGCATTAAAACCAGAACGAGATTAGTTAAGACAAAGTTAAGATAAAACATTGTTAAAGTGAGATGATATACTGTATATAAAATTAATATAAGAACAAACAGACAAAATAAAAGGTCTGAAACAGAAATCCAGCCATTATGCACTGTTTTATCAGCAGAGAAACCAGTCAAACAGAGGCACAGGGAAACAGCAGAGTTTTCAGCTGAGACTTGAAGGTGGCCGAGTCAGGGCCCATTGAAGGTCATCGGGAAGCTGCTTCCACCTGTGGGCAGCATCGTAGCTAAAAGCAGCTTCACTTGTTTGGTTCTGACCCGAGGTTCGACCAACTGACTGCTTCCTAAGGATCTCAGAGCCCTGCTGGGTTTGGATTCTTCACTCAGATCAGACGTGTGTTTAGCCCCGTGATACCACTGAGTGATTTATGAACTAGCAGCAGCACTTTAAAATTGATTCTGCAGGCAACTGGCAGCCAGCCAGAACTGTTCTCCCGGTTCTGGTTAAGCCTCTGGCAGCAGCGTCTGAGCTGAGGCTGTCTAACAGTCTTTCTGGGAAGTCTGGACAAAAGGCCATTACAGTAGTCCAGCCTGCTGGAGACGAAGCCCTGAATGAGTTCCTCCAGATCTTGTTCTGGACATGAGGCCTCTGAGTCTGTGCTGCTTGTTTGAGATGATAAACAGCCGATTTAGTTATGGCCTTGATGCAACTGGTGACACTCAGGTTGGAGTCAGCTATCAAGTTTTTGTCTTCATATTTCTAGAATCAAGCTGATCGGTAACTTCTGCTGGGGCTAGATGCCAGTGGTCAATGTTTGGCAAGGAAATGCTCTATGTCAGTGAGTATCCTCACAGAGACAGAAAGACCAGCATGTGTGTATCTAAATTACGTTCATCTGGCTCCATTAAAACTCAGAAACTGCAGGAAAAAATGTTTAAGTGCTTGTTTTCACTTGTGAAACACTCAGCATCCACTTTATTAGGGACTGTGTGATAGTGTTGTGGGAGGGGCAGGGAGGCCAGAAGAAGGGGAGGTGTGTTTCTGATGAGAGATCAGCGTAGCAATACTTGCATGGGAGAGCAGGGGAGGGCCTTTCATTTCTTATGTAATTTATTTTTGGTCTCATAACAGAAAGGAAAGAAGTAAAGAGGAGGATTATGTATATTTTCTTTTTGCTGAAGGGAGGTGTACCTATTCTGGGAGAGCATGGGAGGATGTTTTAACTCTGAGTCATCCCAGTTTTATATTTAATTTCCTTGAAAGCAAAACAAAAGAAATACTGTATCAAACATTTACGTCAGAAATGGGTTTACATGAAATGTTCAGTATGTGAGTGGGTCACAGGTGAGATGCTGCTTCACATGTGAAGGATGTGAATCTGACGTCCACACCACAATGTGTGTTAACGAACTCCCTCTGAGGTGAAGCTGTTAGGCTTCGAGCACCGAGCTAGACCTGGTCTACAAAAAACAGGTTTATATGACACCTGAGCCTCTGTCTGAAGAAACCGTTAACAGTATCACAGAGCCAGTAAAACCACCACAGAGGCTCAAACCTCCCATTTCAGTCCTGCCTTGCTTTCTTGCTCCTCTTTCACCCTCTCCTCCTTCTGTTCATCTTGCAGGGCAAAGAATGTTTTCATCTTCTCTTTCACATTCTTCTTCTTCTTCTTCAGTGGTGTACCTGTGCTGTTCCTGGGACATTTTGAGGACTCTGATGGTCCAGTTCTGGAAGGAGGGGGTAGAGTTGGAGGAGTATGTCTTCTTCTTCATTGATCTGTTTGCTGAGGGTCTGAGGGGACAAGGTCCTGTCAGACCATGGTACAGAGGAGACCACAATGACTATGCTGCCCGCCATGCCTTCAGAGTGAGTGCTCTGTTTTCTCAGTTTGAGTTTAAAAACTGTAAAGAAACTTCATTTAAATTTAAGATCTGACGATTTGCAAAAAGACCAGATCCAGATCCACAAATAGGACTGAAGTGATCCACAAAAGTTGAAACTGCTGAACTGTTGAAACCTGAGCATAAAATTTGTTCTTATCTCGAATCTTCACAAACATACAGCGACGACAACAACAACAACAACAACAACCGAATCTTCACAAACATACAGAGACGACAACAACAACAACAACAAAACATGCTTATTTGATGCACTGGCTGTTTGCGTGAACTGACGGTCCAGAGTCAGATCTGGTCAAACAATCAGTGTGACCACAGATTCAGTGCGGATTCAACGTGTGGGAGGCGAAACAGTTCTTTACCACCCACCAAAAACACAAAGTAACATCAGCAGACTCAAACAGAGCTGTTGGTGCTTTGTGCATTAGAGTGGCCTATGGAGTGACTCATCTTTACCGCCAGACAATCAGAATAGGACCTGAACAATGCAAGTGCTCCTTTGGCCAATCTTTACCTCGCTAATGGCTGCAGCTTAAGTTTCCCAACAGAGTAACAGTCACTTCTTCAAATGTAGCCTGAGGCAGCTAGCTTAGCTTTAGCACAGCTATGTTCATGTAGCTCCCTACAATGCTACATGGGCGGCTTATCCTCCAACCTCCTATTTCACCTTTGAATGTGACGTCACTTTGGGCACAGTTTCAACACCTCTTGCTCTCCAGGTGGGAGATTCAAAATTTTAAATAAGTAAAAAACTCAGTCAAGACAGAGTTTAGGCCCTCTGCCATCACCCTGATCCATCTCAAACCTCATTTTCCTCTCCAAATCACAGAGATACCAAACACTTCTTGATAATTAGCGACAGGGTTAATGTCTGAGGTGTGACCATGAAACTTTGGAAGATCTGACAAATCTCTGCAAATGGCTGCTGCTGACAGTTTAATGGGCAGAATTAAAGTAACTGTACTTACTGTGGTCTTTAAACTGGGGTTTTGTTTTTCCTTTTATTGGATAAAGACAGTTTGTATACTGAAACAAGGTGAACAGACTGCTTGATTTGTTTGTCATTTATCAGCAAACTGTATAATCTGTCTGTTTGTTTTCAGAGTGTGAAGGTGTTGACCTACCTGGAGCCTCAGAATCCAGAATATCTTCAGTTTGTTGAAGGTCTTAAGAGAGACGCAAAGAAAATGTTCAACTTCACCATTGAAGACTCTCTGGTACCAAGGCACTCTGTGTGCCACTGTTGTTATTTATTATTAGTATGACACCTGAGACTTCTTGACCTACCCATGCATAACTGCTTGCAGGTCTAGTTCAGAATTTAAACTACAGTCATGGTAGAAAGAAAGTACACCCTCCTTCACTTATATATTCTTATTCATCAGGGGCTACAGAAACAATTGTGTGGACCTCACCACCTTCTATTACAAACATGACAAATTTCACTATGTGATCACTGTTTCCCAAAAGTAAACCAGCATTCAGAAACCAGGTGGGAAAGGTCCACCCCATGTCCATCCAGGTCATGCTGCCAGGTTCTTTCTGGAGAGAAGGGGCGGTTTCTGAGATGCCTAGTTGTGAAAGCTATGCTTGTTTGCTAGAGTATATTAGATATAATACAATAATTAAATATAATTAGATATAATACAATATTTAAATATAAATACAAAGACATAAATGTATAATACATAATAAATAATAGGTGCTAAACATTCTAATCAAAAGCCAGAGTAAGTTTAAGTTGGCAGTTTTAAGTAGGGATTTACTAACAGTAAAGAAAATTTTACAGAGCAACATAAACTCTGCTCTGTCTGTTCACTGCTCTCAGCTCAGACTGACATGAATCCTACCTCTCTCTTTCAGTACAACCTGATCGCTGGAGGTTTCCACGACGGGGTGATGCTGTATGCTCAGGCTCTGAATGAGACTCTGAGTGAGCAGAGAGGACCGGGACTAGGACATGTCCAGAGGCCTAGACAGGATGTGGTGACCAGGAGGATGTGGAATAGAACCTTCCCAGGTGAGGATAGCTGCTTGTGATGTCTTGCACGTGTCTGGAAACATTTCACACGGGAAGGTTCAGCTCAGTTGTTGGCCAACCAGACCACAGAGATGGATGAGAAAAGTCTGGATTAAAAATCATATTATTCATCACAAAACCACAAAGAACAGAAAAATCTTGCTGGCGGCTACAGTAAAAACACAGAGTCTGATGGTGTTGCGACAAAACAAAGTATTTAAAGAGTATGATAAGTACTACTGAGTCCTACACACAGGTGTGTACAGTTACACTGCAGGTAAACGCACTCGATTGAGGACCATGGATCACGGAACGAGGAAATAAGGGAATTTGGATTCACCTAAAGTCACTGTGAAGAAGGGCACATGGACAGGAAGTATACTTCCTTCCTGCTTTTCTGCAGAGCTTCAGTGTTGCTGCCTGTCATTAGTTGTTTAAAACACAGAATCAAGACAGGAAATCTAGTAGTGCTGAGTGCAACAGGAAATACTTGCACCCCCATAAGTCTCCATAAGCTAAGCTAACCTCGTCCAGCTCCGTGCTGACATGAGAGAAAAACTGTTGAACTAGTCCTTTAACAGTAAATCCTGTCTCACTGTGAGAATTGTTTTCATGATTTTGGGGCTGAGCATCCAATTCGTGTGATCAATGTGGTTTTCCCATCCTGGTTGGTGGTTTGATCCCAGGAGTCCAGCCTTCATGTTCCCAGTGTTCCCAGTGTCACAGCCAGCTGCTGCATATTTACACTGTAGCACTACGCTAACACGCTGACTCCCCGTTGACACACCCACTGCAGCCATGAGAATGTGTGTGTGTAAAAAAACAACAAACCGCCAGCCTCCCATTCCCATGGGGACCTCACAGAGCACAGAGGCCCCTGATTGGTTGGTCAAGGTTCATTAATTAATAGTGAGTGATTGATTGGTGGAGCTGAAGGAGAGAAGTTGGTTTCTCACTGGAAACAAATCAACTTCATGTCTCAGCTGATTAATTGTATTATTTTATTGTCGAGAGACAGATTTCAGATAAACATAGTCAGTGGTTCACAGGAGTCCCTCTCAACATGTTTTACTTGGTCTGACTTTTAAGTCCAGAGACCAAGAGCCACAGTGCCCCTGAGGCAACGTTAGCATTAGCTGCTAACTGGCCTCAGACTGGCGCCAAGTGAAAGCTGCTGCATGTGGGTATAGAATAAAAACACAAAGCGGTCAGGGGTGTGGGGCTCTGACCTGACCAGGATGTTTGAATCACCTGAGTGAATGTTGACATTAATAACAATGTTACTGGTACACTAGCTTTGTTTGACTCTTACAGCTTTAGTAATATAATCAGACCTGAAGATTTCACAGCTCAGTTTTCATCCTCAGGGTCTGGGCAGATTTGTCTGACATAAATGTTCTGAAATTACAGTGTTCACTTCTGCTCTGCTGGTTTAAATCAGACAGTTTTTATCCTTGACCGGGGAGTCTGTTGAATCTATACAGACTGAGGAGTCCTGGACAAATCTGAGATGCTCCCTTAGTGGGCGTGAAGCTGGACTTCAGTACTGATTTCAGTCCAGGAAGTCATCGCTCATCTGTCAGAGAAATTTATCTCAGGAAGAAGGTTCACGACCACATAAATGTTAAAACAACCACTGAACACTAACAGCGCATGTTCAGACACAATAGCAAGCAATGTCATGTCTGACAAAGAAAAGCATTAAAGCACCTCACATTAAAGAAGGTGGAACCAGAATATGTCGGTGACTGTTGCTTCTAAATAGCTGCTGGTTAATTTTCTACCAGTGAACTGACTCATGGCTGCAGCTCTAGGTCACTGAATGGCTTCATGAGGATGACACAGTAGGTTGGACAAAGTGAGGGGATCTGGTTTGGAAGGAGGATGTTTCTTCCTGCAACAGAGGAGAACTGACGCTGCTCTGGAGCCCTGATAAGGCTTTCCTGGGTGCTGGGTGGTTGTTTGTCCTCTCATCTGTCATCAGCATGTGTTAGTGATAGAGAGCTGATGTGTTTATTATCAGAGTTTCAGTCAGATGTAAGCTTCACAGGAGAGGATGGAACCAGCTGTTGATTTTGAACATGTTCTGGAAATGTGGTTAAAATGTCACTTTTGATTT